AGAAGCCCGGGTGGAGCATCCATGCCGCAAGGAAGCGAAATGGTTTATCTCCTTGCGGTTGAAGTTCCACGCGACCAAATGCCAATTGGATGGGAGAATGGTCAGACCGTATACGCGGGAGGAGGCGAACCCTGCTTGTTTCGTACTTATCTACCCAGGGCGTGTTGGCAATGAAACGATCTAGCTTCTCAGTTACTCGTCCATGTTGCCCCTCACGAACCCACGTGAAAAGGTGACCATCAGTGGCCACTTCGTGTATGTTATTCGTAAACATCCATTCCACGGAATCCTTGCTTACATTGTGGTGGCTAGCTGAACCTCCTATCTTTTCTGAGTGATGGAGAAGGAAGTTAAAGTCGCCTCCGAGAAGCCAAGGTTCCGAGATACCTGTAGCGAGCCTTGCAAGCGTGGCCCATAAACCCCTCCGACCTACCGAGCTGGGACTCGCATAGATGAAGGATATCAGACAAACCTCGTCTTGTTTACGTGCCCGGACATGAATCAGTTGTCTAGAGAAACCAAGAACTTCAACATTTACCTCATCTGTCCAAAGGAGCCAGATTCCTCCCGAGAAACCACGGGCTTCGACCCTGAAGGAGTTTTCAAAATTACTGAGTCGTACAAAGCTATCCGCGTTTGCCCCGCTAATTCGGGGCTCAAACAAGGCAACCACATCCGGTTTGGACTGGCGCATAAGAGTAGAGAAAGCTCCCCGGAACCCGGCTGAGCCCGCTCCCTGTACATTCCATGTTATTATATTCATAGAGAAAAGCTGAGAAAGAAGACGATCGGGAGGCACATTAGACGAAGCCTGTAGGTCGCGAGGTTTGAGCCTCCTCCATGTTCACGGGCTCATTTGCATCGCCCTCAGTATCCGTCAATATCCTCCGTGAGTGAGATTCTTCCGGCCATGGTTCCTCTGGGTGAATATCATGTTCCCCCTCAGACATGGCTGCATCGTCGGCGAGATCCATGGCTGCAGGCTGAGAGGGGTCGTTGAAAAACTCAACTTGGAGTTATGGGGGCAACA